GTAAGCCTATGTCCTCTAAGAAACAGAGATGAGACTGGTTTAAATGAGCAAAGGTGTGATTAGGGAAATGTTTGTGTGAAAGGACATGGGAGAGACTTGGGGAAACCTAAGCAAGCCATAAGAAGAAGGAAATGCAAGTCTGATCCCAAGTGAAGGAGAGAGAGGGAGTAGGTTAGGTGGAAGCATCCTAGGTGGCTGTAATAGCCTAAGGAAAATCCTTGAGCCAAAGCTAGCCAATAAAGGAATGGATCTACCTTGATATATAGCTACCATACTCAGTCATGGAGGTTGAGGAAGGGGCTTACTCTAGGGGCCAACCCACTGTGACTGGAGAAGAGGATCATATTAGAAAAAAAGCAGCCATTGTTACAATAACCACATAGGAGATACGATGCAGTGGTTTCCAGGAAAAACAAAACAAAACAAAAAAAACAAGAGGCTGGGCTGACCAACACTACATCCAGTCTTCATACTTCTCAATTTTTGTTAAAGAAGCAGCCACTACATCAGGAACCTGAGTCTCTCAAAATGTGCACCTTGACCTCTGATTGTAAAAGGCACGTTTCAAAGTGCTGAGTAAATCACATGACACTCATTTTGCTTGGCTCCCAGGGAGGAAAGGCTGATCTCTCTCTCTCTCTCTCTCTCCTGAATTTGAACGTGTGATTTCCCGAAGTAAAGAGATACCAGACTTGATACTGAGACATCTAATTTATCCTCCACAATTTCACGTGTCTCCAGGTCAAGCCAGCAAAGTAGCTCGAGCTCATCCTTCTTAACAGGGGAAGAGCTGATGCCTGGATCATCTTTTCAATCATCCACTCCTCATTTTGTTATTATTGTTATTGCTTTTCCTATTTTTTCCCTTCTTAGGAGAAGGTCAATGCTGAGTTAGGACCTTATGCTATGTAACAGACAAATATTCCATGCTGGACAGAATTTTCCCAGCACTTTCACAGGGTGTGAGGCTTTTCTTGGACTTCACATCACGCAATGCTCAATTTGTTTGGAAAGGGTAGAGGTGGAAACAGTCTATTGAAAATATCACTGCCTCTTCCCTGAAATTTAAAAGAGCCTATTAATTATCCTTCATTTAGATTCTCTCTCTCTTGGGCAAAAAGTCTCATAAAGATAGGCAGGGAGAAAAGAAGGGTTTATAATACCCATGGGTTAGCTTTTGCTCACAGAATGCTGTGCTACTATCCTCTATCAACAACCATACAAATGGAGCTCAGCTCACACTTGTACTTGGAAGGGCATCCACCCCCTAAACCAGCATCTTCTACACCATCTGGGATCCTGGACAGCTCATGACTTGATCAAGGACAGTTATCTAAGAGAGATTTGGGCCTTGAGGCACCAGATATTGTTTGACCTCTGGGAAGGCAGTATGGCAAAGCAGCTAAATGGTGAGCTCCAGAATCAGAAGGAACTGGTACAAATGCCAGCAACAGGCACATCTTTACAGCAAGAAATCGCTTTTAGAAGCTTCATACTCCTTCAAGGTAAAATGGGCAAGACACTAGTACCCACTTCCAAAAGAACTAACAGAAATAAAACATATTTAATTAACATATGTAATACATATGGATTCAACTGATAGAATTATTATTCTTTTGTTAAACAAATAAACTGTTTTATTATTAGTCCTGGGTCTATCCATTTGTTCCTATGTAACCTCAAGCAATTTACTAAATCTTAGTGAGCCTCAAATTCTATATGAGACTGTTGTAAATGAAATTGTCTCAGGAGGTAGCATGAGATTATTGTATAAACTGTAAATGTTAATGAAGATTATTATTATTATTGCCATTGTTACTAGCTCTCAGTGACCTTCTTAATAAAAAATTTTATGTATAGATTTCCTATGAAGTCTTAGAAGCTAGGATGGGAACAGAGATATAATGGGAGAATATGAATGAGCCCTTCAAAGCATTTTCCCGGTTCATAAATATCTGTGCATGATCCCCAAAGTGTAATAATGTATATCGCAAATTAAGCCCTTCTTAAACGGATTCCCCAATGAGCAGGTCAATCTTTTCTTCAGAGAAATAAATTTCCTCAACCAACCCTTGTGAGCTAGAGAACCAACATTTTTTAAAAAATAATCTTACTTTCCCTAGTGTCAATAGGAAACAGTATTTACTTACTACTGTTTTCCTTTCAAAAATCTGTCTAGTTGCATACTAGGAACAGCTTCGGCTGGTTTGTTTGTCTTGGACAAGCTGTTGAAGTGAAAAGTTTTTGCTTGGCTGAATGTGGGACAGTTTCATAACCCTTCAAGAAGTGCACTGAAGGTGGATGCCAGTTTCAAAGGCTGCCTCAGACAGGCCTCCACTTGCTGCCCATTGTCAAGGGTGGCCAGCGAAATTAAATTAAGACAATGAACAAAGCAACAGATGCAACTGAGACCAAGTCCCTGAGTGCTTTTGTTTGGTCCCTGTCATTGTCTACAACAAAGAAGTCCCATGTGAGAGCCTGGGAAGAGAGCCAAATGCAAACCAAATGACATCCCAGCTGGTTTTGAGTGGCCGCCACTGAACATGTGTGTGCATGGGAACCACGCTCCTTGGAGCGGGGGAGGCTTCTCTCAAGTGAGTGTCTGCCTATGGCTTTGATGTGATGCCAACGCAGACCCGGAAGATATAGGAAGGATCCCTCTGTACAGACTTTACACCTCAGCTTTGAGACAAAAGGAAAAGAATCTCCCTGTCGGGAAAAGAACAACATCTGATGTGGTTAGCCAATCTAACCTCTGTTCTTTTTGCCACAGCCCTTACGAATTTGTGACACATGGAAGATACCTGACTTTCTCCTTCTACAAATCTGGGATTTAATTTGGCTTGAGAGGAAGATTAAAGATTAAACATCTCATGTGGCTTTCTTTTAATTTGTTATTATTTCATTCTCTAGCATTCTCCTAGTTTGGGTGTTTCCCACAGTTGTAAAATATTTTTTTCTAAGATGATAGAAAAAAAAGGTAAAACTCAAATCAGCATATTTTTAGGCCTCTTGGTTAATTTGGTCAGTAGTTTGATAGAGAAGTAGTAGTATTAATAATAGCTATCTAGAAATCCACATAGCTGATCAGCTGAGAATTGAACAAAAATGCAACAAGGAGTTTAGGATGACAGTGATCCTACACTGTGGCCCCATATGTCTTTCTGCCACTTCTCTGAAGAACTCCTTTAAGAAGGCAAAATGAGATGTATGATCAGAAATACAAATTTACTGGTAGTTCAACAGTAGATGCTTTTATTCAGCAAGAAATACATGTTAAGTGGACTGGATAAAAGGTCAATGATATTTGGGAGAAAGTGCCAGGATTTTAAACAGATGGCATTTTACACTGCCCTATACAGATGCCCAATTTTGTTCCACAGCTTTTTTTTCCCCCAGTGACCCCTGAGCTAGATATTTTAACAAACATTTTTTACACAATGATGCCATCCTCCTTCTATTCAGTCCCTACGGGATACTGACTATCAACTTACAAAGTGCTAACTGGCTTTTATGAAAGTCTTGGTGCTAACTCCAATGTCAGGTAGAGCTGAAAAGCATGTGTAAGAACAATTACCAAATCCCTCAGGGCCTTAGCTCAGGAATTGGTAGTTGATTCTGCCCCAGTGTCTCATCCTTTCCAGGTATCTAGTCTGGGTGAACACAAATGTCCCTTACATGATCTCTAAGCTCCTAACAATGATTGGGTGATCGGTCATTACCTTAGTCAGAAAAATGAATTTGGAGATTCCAGCCACCATGGAAAGAAAGAACTGTTGTTTTTTGTCCTGATGGAAACGTGTTCTTAAAAAAAAAAGTCTGTAGATCTTTAAACCCTATTTTATACCAATAATTATCCATTACATTCTCCTATAAGGGCTTCCTGGTTAGAGATGAAACCAAGATTAAAAAAGCATCTTATGTTTATGCATGCAAAGACCACTTCCTCCTAGATTTCATTTCACATCTTATTTGTCTAACTAAACTTTGCTATTTAAATACATTCAGAGATAAAATAATAACTATAAGAAAAGTATAATAACCTGATAGTCATTCACTCATTCATTTAATTCATCCTTCAGCTATGTAGTAAGCACCTGCAAAATCCTGGGTACTGTTCTAAACATGGAGCTGTAACAGTGAACTGACAAGTCCCTGCTATCATAGGGCTTCTGCCCTAAGCAAAACATAGAGGAAAACATGGCTTGTTGATGAGTGGATGGTAGCACCAAAGCCAGGAACCCTGGAATTTTAGTCTAGGAATGGCTACATCCTAGTAAAGATGAAAACATGATAATAAGAGTAAGATAAAATAATAATACTTATATAGCACTTGCCATGTGACAGACATATTATAGGTGCTTTTATGTACTAATTCTTTAATCCTTAATCCTACAAGGTAAAAATTATTATCCCAGTTTATGGATACAATTGAGACACAAGAAATTTTCGCTCCAAGAAGCTCACAGGGCTACAAAATGGAAGAGCTAGGATTTGAGCCAGGTTCAGTATGTCTGTGATTTTACAGAGTCTAAAACAATTAAAAATTTCCCCACCCTCTCATTCTAAATCTCTTTCTTCAAAGAGAAAAAAATGAAAAAGAAATATCTTTTCACAGAAATTAAAACAGAACAAAAATGCAATAAAACAATACAAAATAACCCCCAAATATTATTTTTTTCTCACTGAAAAAAAGATGCTACAGACCAGAAGATGAAACTTTCAGAACCTCCCTTCAATCAATGAATATGTGATATCAGCAGATGAATAGAAACACAATTTTGTGTGGTTATAAGGGGCACAGAGAAGTAGCTCGAATGGGGTTTAGCTACACTAAAAACTAAAGCCTACTTACTCAAATACGTCTTTCTCAGAAAAATCTAGGCCCAGTTCTCTCTTAGACTGACTGGTGAGTCTTAAGCTAGAAAAGATTGAAGTAGATGGGTAGGATATATAAAACTTCACCAAGTTTATGTCGCTTTTTCCTCCTTTGCTTTCAGGAAGTACATTTGAAGAACGCAAGTAGAGGGAATGCGGGCAATAGGAACTACAGAATGTAGGAAGACCTTCCTGAGGAATGAAGAATGAGATGCCATCACCAGGATCCTTTGCTTTGCATGAATTACCAGTTCAACACCAGAAGACCCACCAAAATATAAGTTTGATAACATTTCAAAAGATGGGCATTCCCCCAATGAAATACACAAGTAAACATTTCAAACATTGTCTTTAGGAGTGATTGTTAAAAGCTTTTGCACCTTGCAGAATAAGGTCCTGGCGTTGGTAGATTGCTGTTGATCCTTTATTACTGATGTTCTACAGAGAAAAAAATCTATCTATCTATCTATCTATCTACATATATCTTAGTCCCTGCCTCTCAAGAGCCACAAATGCATGGGTGTTGTCTAGATCCAGTTGCACTAAATTTGTCTCTGAATCTTGGCTGCTGGAGCCATTCATTCAGTAGTCTTGTCTAAGTGATTTATTTTTTTATTTGCATTTCTTTGTATGCAACACAGGCTGTTTTTTATTTTATTTTATTTTACAGTGTCTAATTACCTTGCTTGTCTATCTCTGCCCACCCTCCTCCATCACCGTTATATTTTCCAAATTTGGCCTCCTCCCTAACATCAGCAAGCAGTCAAGTAGCACACCAACATTTAACCCACAAGATTCTATCTGCAGCATTGGCACCAAATATAGGTTGGGTGCATTTGCTGTAGACACAAGGCTTTATTTTTCCATATCTTGCTAAGAAGAAAATGCAAACAGTTGCAACTTTGAGGCCAAATGTTCTTAGATGTACGTGTTAAGTCCAGAAAGTCTCAAGCTCTCAACAGTTCCTTCAAATGATGAGTTAGTGTGCGACCTAATTAGTAACTTCTCCTTGACTTTCTCCATATTGAGCACTATGTAAATTTCACATATCAACATTACAGGATATATCAAACAGTATGTAAAACTCTCTCTCTCTCTTTTTTTAGTACAATGGTGCTATTTTGTAGTTTGTGATATGAAAGAGGCTGGCCAAAATGGTAAAAGGTGAAAGCAAAACAAACAAATAAAAAAGGATGCCTGGAGCCAAAGAAGACACAGAGGGGAAGGGTCCTAGAAATCCAGCACCTCCGATGATGCCTTCCAAGAGAAATTGAAGACACAAAGGTCACTGATGAAAATTTGTTCAGCAAGTCCAGAGAGGAATAGAAAAAGCAGAAGGCTAGAAATGTAATAATCCTGGTTTCTTCTCACTGATTAAACAAACATCTGCCAACTCGGCCATTTACTCACCACTTTGTGACCTTGGGCAAGTCAATTCACCTCTCTGTGCCTCAGTTTCCTCATCTGCAAAATGGGGCAATATGCCATCTACCTACCTCACAGGGGTGGTATGAGGATTAAAAAGATAAAGCTCCAGATTTTTATCCTAAATTGCTACGAGGGTGCAAGGTCAGAGCCCTTGAGTTACTGGGATGCAAGGAATTCTATAAACAGCTCATTCAGAGCATAGCTAGAAAACTGATTAGTCAAATGCTCCTGACATGCCAATTTTTGTCAATGAAGCTATCTAATTAAGTATCCAACTAGCTAGTTGTTAAAAGCTAGCAAGCAGCTTGATCTCTTTTAAAACACTTTTCAAAATTAGAAACAATTAATTAACAACTTGATTTTAAATTCTGCACTTGGGTCCATAAATACAAAGTGAAAAAAGGGAAAGAAAAAGAAAATGAAGAGAAAAACAAAAAGATTTCTACCAGCAAATGGGTGATTACTCGATTTGTTAGCACTCACTGATTGTTCCAGGCAGTTTCTAGAAATCTAGTAATACTTCTTTTAATATTATGATATTCTACTCATTTTGAAAAGTTATTTCATTTTTAGGCAATCTAAAAAAAATGGCCCAAGATTTAAACTATTGAAATAATATCTTATAAAAAGTCACAGTTACTTTCTTTAATCAATTTTGCTTTTATTGTTGTTGCTGTTGTTAAAATGCATTTGACTAGAGTTGCTCATTTATAGGCAAAAGTTTTCTTCAGAACTAGAAACTTTCCCTCATGTCTGTTTAGAAGAATGGCCCCTATGAATGTGTGTTATTCATTCAACTAAATAATTGGTATTAAGAAAATCTAATGTTGAGAACAGGCCCATGGTGACCTAAAAAATGTTTCCAGCCTACATATCAACAATAAATCATCCACCATTTGGATCTTTTATCAGCCTTAAACCTTTTTGGTGAGAAGCAACCAGGTTTATTATTTCATGCACATTGTATCCTTTTTAGTTTTGGGAAATATATATATATATGGAAAACAAAAATGACATGTGTAGTTTTATCCCACTGGTTCACCTCAAGATCCAGTGGCCAGAACTAAAAAATAATAATAATTAATTAATTAAAGAAGACTTCCTGGATCTCAGAACATATGCAAAAAGAAAGCCTATTTAGTGGGTGCCCCTGCTCAACGAGCATTTTAACCCTCAGTGCCCAGTGCTATTTGAATTGAGCATCTCTGGTGTACTGAGTGGTATTCTAATCACTGTGGACAGATGTCAAAGGAACTACAAGTCATTTTTGTCCTTCATCTGTTTCCACACATATGGATTTTGTGGAGTGACGTGCTGAACTCCTCTTCCCAAAATGGCACTTCTAATTTTATTTCTTGTTCCTAGAATGCACCTTTTAAAACCACTGACTCCAGAAACATTTTACATGTATGCTCCTGCAGACCTAGCAAGATAGGGTAATTTTATGAGTATCTATGACTTAACTTGATTCACTTAGCAATTCTATTCACAGCCCAGATACCCCAGTAAGGAAAGCTTAAATAGACAAAAAGACACCATCTTTCTTAACTTTTTCCAACACATGGTCCTCTCCAACTACATCATAAATCAACAAATTAAAAAGTAACTAGTTGTTATACTAACTCAGTATCTTATTTGCAAATGAATTAAAACTAGAAGACAACTTGATGTAAACTTCAAAAAGTTAGTTGACCCACATACACTACAGCAGAATGTCCCAGGGTTGACAGAGAGGGAGCACCTAACATTTCACAACTCAAAACTTCATAAGCTTTGCTTTAAATTTTAAAATGAGAAATTTCAGGATGTTTATGAAAGAGCCATGCCTACTGGTAGGAATTACCATTCAATGTATATTCTTTCCAATTTAAATGACAATATAGAATACCTAAGTCAAATTTCTACTCCAGCTCCCTCACATAGGAGAACAGCACTATTTGAACATTTTAAGATGAGGAGGCTCCTCTGAAAAAGCTAATGAATCTTTCTATCAGAATCCACTCTTCTAGACCTAAACAACAAAAAAAAAAACACCTCTCCCAACACCTCTCCCCCCGAGAGCCCAATGGAATACTTAAAAAAAAAAAAAAAATAGTAATAATAACTTCCTGGAAAAATAAAAAAATAAAAAAGCCTGGCCACCTTGAGAATCCTTCCCCTCCTGGGAATGCCAATGTTCGTGTAGATGGAAACATCTTGTGCACTGTGGCTCCAGGATTTCCATTACTAGCTCATGCACTAGTGGGATTCAAGAGGATGTGGCATAATTTTGCTTTCCCATTTATTGTTTGGCCAGCTATGCCAACATGGTGCTATTGTTTCTTTAAGAAAGTACTTGACTAAAAAAATAAGTAAATAAAAAATAAAAAAAGGGGAAAAAAAGAAAAAAGCATGGACATATTTTTTTAAAGCGTAAAAACAGTTCTTTAGCTAGGTGGCTTCATAAGGCAGCACTAGGTCTAGTCATCACCACCTTTCAACTTCTTATCACTCACAAGTAGCAGGCTGTTCACCGAATTGTGAGTGTGGTGGTGTGGGGCAGAGGATGGAAAATGTTTAGAATCCCAAGGTTCCATTATTTTGTTGGCTCTCAGCAAAACTAGCACTATGTTACCCAATCTGAACACCTGGATCAAGAGCATGAAATATAAATGGGGCAAAAAAATCCACACAAAAAACAACTTTACAGGAAAATGGCAGAACTAAAAAGATGGTTAAGTTACTTATTGATTTTTTTTTTGGGGGGGGGGGAGAGTGCTCTCTGCTCTTAAAATAGATATTCAGCAAGTAGAGAAAAATACAAAGAGAGAAAAATGCATACATTCACCTTCTAAAAATAACGTCTGCCCCATTTCCCTTGAGTAAATTTTTAGTATTGGCTGGTTTATAGAAAACATTCTCCCTTCATCTAAACATCTCAGAGAGCAATAGCTCCCATGAGAAGCAATCACTAATCTCATTGGGAAGTGTTGGAAAGTATTCTTTGAGTTAGGGTTATCTATTGATAACGATAGAGGAGAAATTGGGAAAAATCATTGAAAGAGATGGCTAACAATCTGTGAAGACTTTTTAAAAGAACTTTATATAGGCTTTATGAATATCTTAATGTTCAAAATGACTTGGTTCTTTCTTCTTCTTTTATATTGGAATAAGGGGTGATAAGTTAAACCCACATAGACTTTAAAGTTATAGGCTGGAAATGTACATACATTTGACTTGTCAAAACTCTAATCAGACTATCTAAAATGTTTTTTGCTATTTTTAACCTTAAAAGATTGTGTTAATATTCGAGACACATTCTGTTAGCTCTCTTCATTGGGAAGAGCATTCCCACTCAAATCACCTGGGTTTTCCCAGCAATGTGTTCAAAAGATAAATCTGACTTACACATCATTGTGCATCATTTATTTTAAATTTTTAAATAGAAGAATTGTGATTCTTTATGCCCCTCTCCCGCAATCATCAGAAAGTCCAGAAATTGAGGAGGCAAAAACAAGAAGAAACATTTTGTTGGTTTTTTGTTATTGGTTTGTTTGTTTTCAATGCTAGTGCTTAATCCTATAATACATATTTGCTTATCTATATTTTAATACTCTAAAAAAAGCTTTCCTGTTAGGTATTAGAAACTGATGCATAAATATCTTTTTTTTAATGATTTCTATTAAAAAAAAAAAAGGAGATGAGAAGACTGTCTGAAGCTTTGAGTGCATATGGTACAAGATAAAGATATCAATTTAAAGAACTAAGTCCTATCTGTAACAATGCTTTGCTTTAAGAAACTTCTTCCTAGATAAGACAGAGGCGCAGGGAATTTTGGAAACTGTCTTTATTCCTCCCAGTCCTTATTCATTTAGTATCTGTCTCAAAAATATAGAGAGGGCCTAGAATTAAAAATACCTCTTTAAAAACATAAGTTTTACATCTTACCTCTTAATTTGACCTTCAACATGGTCCCTTTTTTCCCCCATTCTTCAGCTATCATTGATAAGGTCTTTTGAGGGGAGAAAAAAAGAACATTTTTTAAATTTAAAAAACTAGAACACAAAAGCCCAAATATCACTTCCCAGTTGAAATATGAGTTAATATGGAGGACACAGAATTCCTCCTACTTAACCCACAGAATCCTTTTCAAAATGACCTTTCACAATCCTTAGAATCTGCCCTCTTTTTTTAATTGCCCAGGCCAACAGAATCTGAAAAATAAATATTACTTATTTTCTTTTGCCCAAAATACGCTGATGTAAAAGTAAGAAAACTGAAAACAGAACTCTAAAATCCCTTTCAAGCTCCCCACTGGCCCTACTCACTCACCCTCACTCACTGATAATAATTCCTTACTCTGATTTCTTTTGGATATTTATCTTGTACCTGCTGCTATACACACTGCAGGAGGGACTCTGAAACCTCAAGCATCTCCTCACATCTCTCCTCTGTGTCTGTGTATCATTAACATGTCTATTCAGTACTTTCAAAAACTTTCAAACATCATGCAGCTCAGATTCAGTTTACATAAGGGCCCCAAATACCATGTCTATCTCTTTTTGCTAAGAGGGTTAATAAACTCTGAGAAATGGGATTACATCATGGGTTTTGCTTCATATGTTTTTATCACACTCACAGGCCAAGTGTGATAAATAAACTTATAGACACTGAATTAATTTTTCCAGCTACTTTGGAAGCAGAAAATGGGGTTCAATGACTTGGTCATTCATTTCATCTGTCTTTGTGCACAAGCATAGTTTTCATTAAGTGAACTCTGATTGTATTTGAAATTATTATTCATTTATGGCAGAGGAATATCAATCCTAATGACTTCTAAAATGTAACTAACTAGTCATTATCTTACATTTACTGTTTAATAAGCATATTTTGAAAATGTATGGCTAGAGCGTCATAATAAAGTGATATATCTTTCTTTAGTAATCACATTCAAATTGGTCTTGTTTGATTAATTTGTTCTTTTTTTGGACAATGTTGATGTAACGTGTCATCCCTGAAGAATTCTATTGTTGCCTAGCATTTTTATTAATCAAGTTCATTGCAACAAATAAACATGAAAACTTACCCAGGAAACTCATCATATACCACAATGGAGATATCACATAGAATTTACAGTTTATATTTAAAAACAAATACGTTTCCAAAAACTTGTATAAACTATGTGAGATGAATACATTGTAAAATATCCTCATGGATAATAAAGCAGGTTTAAGTAACTGATCTTATTCACATAACCCAACAGAGAGTTAAAATCAATGACTTAAAGCATTTGGGAAAAGATTTCCTATCACATATGGTACATGTAATATACAAGTAGCATTTAATGTGCTCCCATATCAAGATATTTTATAAGAATGTGATCTCTCAGCATTGAGTTTTTGTTTTAATAAATCTAATTCTTTACTGAATAGGTACTGTGAATATCAAACTCATAGCACATTTGTGGAAGACAATGTGGAAAGATTAGCCATTTCTCTATTGTTTAAACACATTTCATTTTTTTAAAAAATATATATATATTTATTGATTTGAGAGAGGAAGGAAGAGGGAGATAGAAACATCAGTGATGAGAGAGAATCACCTATCAGCTGCCTCCTGCAAGCGTCCCGCTGGGGATTGAGCCCACAATCCAAGCATGTGCCCTAACTTGGAATTGAACTTTGACCTGGTGGTTCATAGGTCAACGTTCAACCATGAGCCACACCTACTGGGTTACTTTTCCTTTTCTTTAACTCTCTGTGAGCTGTTTGGAAAGTTAGCTAAATATAAAATAAAGGCTCAGGAGCTTTAAGCTTGATTTTAGGAAATTAACAATAATATTGAAGTTTCCTTTCTTATTTTCCCTTGCGTTGCTCACTGTCACTTCCCAACTTCACTCCATCAAAGTTTCCAGGGCTTTCCCTTGGACTAACATTCTCAGCATCTCCTCATCTCCTCATCCTCTCTGTGCTCAGCATCTTGAGTCCCGTGGCCACGAGCTTCCAACTGCATTGCTGCTAAGAGAAATTTCAAAAATTTCTACAAGATTCTACATGCCATGTAATATAATTCCTCCTTTAGTCCCCACAAATTTTCAGTAAAGTTCACAAAAATCGTTTTCTAAACATTCCATTAAGGAATTTCTGGCTGCTCATTTGCCTCCTGTCATTTAGTAAGACCTCTTCCTCCCTTCCCAGGAATTCTTTCCTATACAGTCCTTCATCCTCTCTACTAGAAAGAACTTTCAAGATTGTATCACCTTCTTAGTCAGAGCAACCTATCCCCATCACAGCTTTGCCTGGGGTAGAGGTGGGGGCAGGGCCCTGTTCATCTTTTATTACTGAATTTGGTGGAAAGGTGTCTTTTCCTAAACAAAAGAGGAATTCTGTCCCTAAGAGGAATTCTGTCTTCCTTCAATGTCATCTAGGTGAAAACATGGCCTCTTTTTAAAATAATCTCCTTCCACTAAGACCTGGATGAGTTATAATTGTCACTATACCTCAGTAATAATGATGGTTAATTGTTGCCAAGCATGTACTGTGGGTTAGTCACTATGCCATGTGGTTTACCTACATTATCTCTTTAGTCCTTATAGAAATTCTATGAGTCAGGCACTATAATTTTATAGACAAGGAAATGGGGGCTTGAAGACATAACTTACTGAAGGTCACAAACAGGCAAGGCAGGCTTGAATCCAGGTCTGGGGACCTTACAACCTGCGTTTTTACTCTGTCATCACCCACTCATGCTCTAATCCAGACATAAGGACTATTTTCTATACCAATGTCATACATTCTTGTTTAATTTGTTTCACACACTACAGGCAGATTTATAGCCAATTGCACCTTTGAGTGATGTTATTTTTGAATATGACATCCTTAAGATAAGTAAGCATTTCTGCCCAATATTCATGCTTCTACCTGGGTTTTCAATCTTACCCACTGCCCATCTGGCACCCTGTTCACATTGCAATGTTGGTCACAGTCCCTCCCACCATGTACGGTATATGGCATCCAATGGTAAACCAACCTCAGACACCACAGTGAGAAAGGATATGCCTTAGGCCATCATACAGCCCAGAAATAAACCATTCCCACAGAAAACTAAAAGCTATTCATAAAGAATCTTGCCAAAAGCTCTGACAACTACCCACCCATGGTTTTCTTGACAGCTTATCAAAGGCAGTGTGGTCTCAAGGAACGTGGCTGAATCAGAGCTCCCAGAGACAAAACTATGGACTCACAGAGTGAAGTTCATGACACCCACATTCCTACATCCCTGCCCTTCAATAAGGCCTCAGGCATCCCACTCCAGGGTTCCCAATGGGTCCGGGCCTATTCCTAAATAGCATTTTGGAAAGGTGCGGGTACATTTGGGGTTGTCACTCATAGGAATTGAGGAGGGCATTCTTGGGATTTTAGACATTTCATGTAGATGAGAAACCTATTTATAATAATCTAAGCCTAAAATATATTTTCAATTTATTGATTAAGTCAAAGTATTTTTGCATGATTTTAATGTAAGCTGGATTTTCCGGAAATGGAATGCCCATGTTAAATCAAGGGGAGGGTGGTGCTTTATTTCATTTGGAACTTTACCGAGTGTTGTCCACTGTCTTTAAAAAAAACATCATGGATACCACTCCACCTGGGTACCTGTGTCAGTCTGCTGGTAGCTGTCACAGCCAGAATTCACCACATAGGTGGAAACATCTGGCCACTTCATTTCACTCTCAAATATAGTTATGCCTGAGAGGATCTGTCTTGTAATGCATGTTACTTTATTATAAATAGGGTTTTTTTTATTTAGTTCTTTCTGATATTACAACATAGGCATCATTTTGATTTTTGTTTGAATTGTATAGGTCAACATTACCTATGAATTTCACTTTGGAACATTAAAGGGTATATCATAAAATAATTGTTATAAAAAAGAGTTTTGGGTCTGATAGGCCTGAACCACTGGGCTATCTAGACACACCAACTATGATCCTCTCTGGGTCATAATGGCAGGCAGCTGGCAGAGTTTTTGCCCTCTACACTTATCTAAAAGTGTAAAGTTGAGCTAAATGCTGATGTTTTTCTCACCTTGTTTATGAATAGAGAATAAACCTCTATGGGATCCAATAAAGGATAACGGTTATGGTTAATACAACATCTGGTTTCTAAATGTTCTTTCCTTCACCCTGTGATGGGACGAGAGGATTTTTGAAAAGAATAAAGCAATCGCTAAAAACAAAAACAGATGTAACTTGGCTTGGAGACAATTGCAACAGTACATTAGCAGTAAAATTCGACCTTGGATTTCAAGAGAGGTAGGAAATGGGGCCTGGAAGAGAGGTTTCTCTTTTTAATAGTTGCTACCAAGAAAGCAGGAGATTAAGTAATTGTCCTATACTTTCCTAACGCTACTTGGTTTCTTCGACTCAGAGGCTCCTGCTTAGCCTCCAACCTCCTCCAGAAGGAATAGTGGGGTGAATCTCTCTCCAAATGGAAAGGGGCAGGAAGGAAGGCAGTCACAGTCTCCCTTCATGGCGACCTCTCTATATGAGTGCTCTGTCTGACTCCAACATTTCACCTCGCAGACATGGAGCTCTCCTTCCCAGTCCTAAATCTCTCAAACATGAGAGAGGGAGAGAGAAAGTGATTGTTTCTCTAGAGAGAGAGAGAAAAAAAAAACAGTGATGGGATGGATACCCAGGATGGTTGTGTCCCCTTATTTGGCCTAGAGCTTCTAATTCAGCCACCCTCCCAAAATCTAAATACTCAAAGATAGAATTACCCAAAGACCAAATTTCTCTCTGTATTTCTTTTGACTCTCCACTTTAAAAGTCATTTGGAGCTCTGGCCAGTGTAGCCCAGGAGTTAGAGTATGGCCCTGTGCTCTGAAGGGTCTCAGGGTTCTAGTCCCGTCAAGGGCACATATCTGGGTTGCAGGTTCCCCACCCTGTTGGGGCATTTGTGGGAGGCAACCAATTAATGTGGGTCTCTCACATTGATGTTTCTCTCTCCTTTCTCCCCTTCACTTCTTCCTTCCACTCTCTCTAAAATCAATGGGGGAAAACTATCCTCCAGTGAGAATTAACAAAAATAAATAAATATCATTTAGAAATGGAAATATTCCCATCCCACCACACAGCCTAATAAATTATCTCAGACTGTTAATATTGTTTCTAGACCCACTGCTATAGTAAAAGGCATGGTGAGATCATTCCATCCATAATTTGCTGGAATGTACCAGTTGTTTATCTATTTGCTCTCATATCTATTTACAAACATTTCCCTCATTGCTCTGTTTCATAAGGGACTACATTCCCCAGCCCCTGTGTTCTCTGCCTCCTGGAGAGGTGTGGCTAATAGAAGGCACTAATGAAGATGAGGGCAGGTGGAAGGAGATGGCTAGGGTATTTCCATCCTGTTCTCTCTCTGCCCCAAGTAGCATCTTTGGCAATAACTGCAATTCCTCCCTCCATGATCCCTGCCTGCCCCCATAAGCACCCAGTCCCCCCATCCATCCAGAAGGTTTTTCTCAAAACACCACCTCCTTTCTTGCATCTCTCTATGTCCTAGGGATGTTAGTGACTTTCATAAGCTGTTCATCATTGGGTTGGCTCCCCTCTCTTGTCTACTCATCCTTTCCTTCACCTGTATTAAATACCCTGTTTAAAATACCTAGAATGGTCTCTGCTCCCTGCCTGGACCCTAACTAATAGCCACAGGAATGACATAATGGCAAACAGCATGAGTACTGGAGTCAAGCGGATGTGGTTCTGACACTTCGGGATGCGTGCTCTGAAAAAATCAATCAACCTCCGTGAGGCTCAGTGTCCCCTTTTGCAAAATGGTACTAATAACATCATCCACCTCATATTGGTATTTGAAGATAAAGCATTATCATGCAATAGTTCTTAAGTTCTACATTTCTCAAAATAGTGACATATCCAACAAATAA